TAACCGCTTCCTTAGTTTAGTGGTTAGAGCGTCTGCCCGGAGAGCGGAAGGTCGCGGCTTCGATCCCCGGCTGCGTCATACCAAAAGACGTTAAAATATGCTACTTGTTGGTCCCTGCCTGGCGCACGGCATTAATGGGTATAACAAGGACTGGTCGGCTCGAAGTCAGTATAATGTGTCTGAGTGGAGTATTCATGCTTAACTGCTGCATGGTATCTCAGTGAGCTACCACTATAAAACCAGCTTGTCTGGGCAAGTACAGGCAGCCACACATACGCACGCATGTACGTCGTCATATGAGCGAAATATTCTTAAGTACGACGTTAAACCCCATTTCAACTCTCCTCACCGCAGGTAAACTTTACATGACAATATGTGTTCACGTATGCAGGTAAATGTTTTATATTTGACAATTCTCTGTGATCACGTACACAGGTGACAATGATATTTATTTAACAGTTCAAATTCAATGGAAATTAAATATAATTCCGAATAATTGTTGAATGTTTTCTACACAGGAGACAACATCACAGTCCTTGCTCCCACTGATGATGCATTTGATAAAATGGCTAAAAATAGGACGGATGCTATATTTAACAACGTACCACTAATGAAAGGTGAGTGATGCTTTCTTCAACACCATTATCCTTCTGAAAGGTGAGCAAAGCTTTCTACAACAACATTACCACTCTGCCAGGTGTGAAATCTTTTTTTCTAAAACATTAATTTACCATTCTCTTCGGTGAGTGATGCATTCTTCAAAAACATTACCATTCTCTTCGGTGAGTGATGCATTCTTCAACAACATTACCATTGTGAGAGGTGAGCGATGCTTTGTGCAACGCCATTACCATCCTGCGAGGTGAGCGATATAGAATAAACTTTATGGATAACAACTTCTTTTATTCGTTTATGCGGAACTCCATAAAGTGTGCTCTATATTGTACTTCCCAACTTCTAAAATGCCACTCAAAGCAGAGGTGAGCAATGCTTTGTTCAACAACATTACCATTGAATTTCTCTTTGGTGAGTGATGACATTTTTATACCTTCTGAAAAAAGCGTTTTGTTTCAAAAATAGATACATTTTCTACTCTTCACTGACTTGTATTTTCGCCCACTCCCAGCACTGGTGGAATTCCACCTCCTGCCTGGCACCATCTACACTTATGGATGGTATAACAAAGAGAACATCCACGACGACAACACCAAATACGACAACACCCTCACTGTCCACGAATACGGCAAGTGTCAACTTCATTATTTCAATGCTGGGGCATATGATTATCATTAACAGGGGCGGATCCAGTATTTGGAAGAACGGTGTGTGTGTGTGTGTGTGTGTGTGTGTGTGTGTGTGTGTGTGTGTGTGTGTGTGTGTGTGTGTGTGTGTGTGTGTGTGTGTGTGTGTGTGTGTGTGTGTGTGTGTGTGCGTGTGTGTGTGTTTTGTGTGTGTTTTGTGTGTGCTTGTGTTGCACATAAATCATGAAGTCCAAAGGTTTGGGGAAGTGCTTCTCTGGAAAATCCACATCCCTCGCACCCCTTGGATCAGCGCCATTACATATGTCCAAAGTAATTATATTGGCGGTGATCGAAAGCGTCACTATGCCAATGGCAAGCTGCTTCCCTTGGATGTGCCAAAAAAGGTTGGTAATTGGTACGGTGAGGGGATGTGGGGTTTAACGTTGTAGTTAAGAATATTTCGCTCATATGACGACGTGCATGCGTATGTATGTGGGTCTGTTTGAATAGCCCATGCAGACTTAAGCTGGTTTTATAGTACTAGCCCACTGAGATATCATGCCGCGGTTAAGCATGAATACCCCACTCAAATACATTATACTGACTCCGAGCCGACCAGTCCTTGTTGTACCCAATAATGTCGAGCGCCAGCCAGGGACCAACAAGTACAATATTTTAACATCTTTTGGTATGATGCGGCCGGGGATCGAAACCGCGACCTTCCGCTTTCCGGGCGGACGCGATGATTGGTACAAACACCGATTATGTTTATTGGTTTGTGAGCACCTTAATTGTCATCGTTGGTTTCAACAAGATGATCTGCAAAACATCGAGTTACACTGCACATCAAGTTGGCACGCCGATATATAGAGAGAGATGGATTCACTCCCTCAGTCTCCTAATCACTCACTCACGTACTCACTCACTCACTCGCTTTAATTTTAACAGGTCACCATCAGTTCTACATTTCACCGTTTGAAGGAGGTGTGGTGAACCAGGATTGGCTTGCAACTAATGGCGTCATTCATGCCATCAATGGACTGAAGTATACATGGCCGTTCTATGGAGCTATTTCGAAGATTATCGGCTAAAACCAGGGTTTAGATAACACATTCTAAATAAATATTCATTGATATGGACTGTCATTTAGGTTTGTTTCATTCGTGAGGATCGTACTTGTTGACTTGAGAGCTGCTAGTGTTTCGATCCTGCTCCTCAAGCAAAATACATATACCAGAGTTTCCATGCACACCATTACTCCTAGCTGACCTCTGTCAGCCTTCAGTGAATGAGTATGTAATGAAGCGTGAGTAGTAAGTGAGTATGGTTATACGCCGCTTTTAGCAATATTCCAGCAATATCACGGCAATATCTCTGAAGCTCAATATCTATTGCATTGTATTTGTATCTCATCAGCCTCCACTTAGATTTGACATGTTAAATTGTAACAATTTTAGCACTGTGATGACAACTGCAGCAACGGCTTAAAGTACAAGAATACTTTGTTTCTGTGACAATACACGTTTAGATGATCAGTTCTAGCATTAGGCACATTTGCCTGTGAACGAGTGTGGATAAAATTACATAAGGGTTGACTGTGTATTGTGTTCGGTTCATTGATAAATATTCCATGTGACATGTATAACTGCTTAATTCATCTATATAACGTGATACGCCCACAAAGTCACTTGCCAAGGAGAGTAACATCAAAACATAGTTCACAGGGTATGTCAATCCAGAAGAACTATCAGTTCAGAACAGATCCATAAAATATTTTGCACAGGCAAGGAGAGGATTACTGTTTATTTTAATAAAAATCTAATATTATGCCTTCAACTGTCCACTTCAGCGTCGATGACACTGTAACCCTAAGATTTAATAAGTTATAGCATGTAGTTTTCACTCCTTTACCAAGAATATTCTAGATTTCATGTATTGAATCACCGACTCTTTCTGTTGACAGCACTCTATGAAGTTGAAGTTTGTTTTTGCATTGAATTACCTCTGTAAATTTCAATATTTGTCTTTCCCGCAGTTATATATTTGCCTGTATTTTTCTCTGTTACGCATTTCACACAAACAAGGTTCGTTTTGAAAGGAAAAGATATCCGTTAATCTAGATGTAGTTGCATTGATGCCACTTTCAACTATTGCTGTGTATTTTCTGTAACACACGTTCAGTAAGAGTACATCCTAACAATTCCCTGTATCGTGTATTCTCTGTAACACAGTAAGAGTTCAGTAAGAGTACATCGTAACCCTGTATCGTGTTGCTTCACTTCCAGAAACCTTATATCTTATCGTGGGAGTCAGTTGTAAAATACCGGTTTTTGGTGCTGACTGAAGCAGCTGTAATATATCTTTACCGATACATGTCGGTGGCATATCGTCAGATTCTGTGCAAAGTAAAGCCATTTAATCAGAGACATTGTTGAAAATGCAATTAAAACCAGCTTAAGTCTCTATATGCAAATTTCACCGCTTGGACTTCCAAACGCGCGTATGAGCATTTGAGATACACGTCATCAACAACTGGTGTAAACGTCATCAGTTATAGGTATAATGGTAATTGATAACTGCTGCTGACGTCACCAGTAATGAATGTACACGCATTCAATAACTGGCTCCATGAAACCACAAAAGTCATCGTTTTACTACTTTATCGCATCTCACTTTCAGAGTTGCATCCCTGAAAGGTGCCAGGATCCGCTCAGGATCATTAGCGGTTATTCGTTATTCATCTACGGTCTAGGATTTATTGCATTTTTCTAAAACGCTTCAGGACAAGCTACAATGTAGTTGTATCATAGCTTGAATCATGCTAATCGTGTCGAAGACATTCTCAACCATCATTATAGACAGGGGTGCCATTGTACAAAACAACCTTAGCGCTAAGAGCGCTGTGTTAAGGAATAAGACTAAGACTGTCGTAGGTCTGTGTTAAGGAATAGGAGTTACGGTCACCTTAGCGCTAAGATCGCTTTGTACATCGGTACCAGGACCCCTATTAATCCGCATATGTGAGTAAGTAAACATGTGTTGCAGTTCCTTTCTTACGTTCTTATCACAAATGCTTTACATGATAAATAGTGAAAGATATGGAAACGTACTCTTGTAAATATAGTCCTTTAAGCTGATTACATGTACTGCAAATCTTGGTTTCCACGCCCAAGTTCAACCCACGATAACCCCACATTCCCGATGATAGCATGAGCCTATATTAACACGGGAGGGTGGGTGAAGCCCACAGGTCTGAGGTGAGTAATCTAAACTTCATATTTCACTAAAAATGAAGTATGTATTTAATTAATTTAGCATTTACAGAGGTATTTCAATCAAATTCAAATTTGAGGCTGATGTATTTCCATCCGCCGAATTAGATTAGACCTTAAGCAATCTATGATGATCGTGCCATTGACAGGTAATCAGGTTTGGCGATTCGCTAATTGCGCGTTACCATACAACTGCTTCGACAGTTGCTCATAACATCCGCGACTTGGTTCACTGTCCAGACTTGATTCGTTTAAAGATCGACGGAATATGATAATTATATACCCGGTATATAGCTGAGTGACACAATATGCCCCAGAATCGAAACATCTCAGGCCCATTTGCGCGATTTCATAGGTCGAAAAACGCATGAAATAACTAGAATAAAATTTATGAATTCTTGAAATTTCAGTATGAACAAACTATTTGTAACACTAAATTGTTTTGGACAAATTGGCTATTGGTACGTCAGTCAGAGGTAAAGACGATACCTATTCAATATGTATGTTTCAAGGGTAACTTACATGGTGGAGCAATGAAGCTGTACTTCGTGTGTGGACTGCTTCTGTTTGGCGTCTGTGATGTTGCTGCAAGAACCATCATGGATGCACTGAGTTCTAGATACGACATCATGTCGTTCACAAGTCTTGTGCGAAGAGCCGGTCTTCAGAGTCTCCTTAGCTCGGGTATGTATGTATGCACAAACATGTCAATGTTTTACTAGCTTATCGCATCTCACTTTCAGAGTTGTGTCCATGAGCCGTGCCAGGATTCGCACTTTTCATTCGTCTTAGGTTTAAATTATACTGATCAAAACTGAACACTTGCCACTCGGGATGTTTTGGACAAGGTTTTTAATATTAGGTTTAAGACAACAATTTTAGTTGTAAACCGTGCACAGAACATCTTTATAGGCTACAAAGTCAAGGTTTGCACGTGAACTTACAATTTCACGAAATTAAAGCATTCAAACTGTTTACTACTGTTTAATATACTTGTAAATTTATTTGATTAAACAGATAAAGAAAAATGTCGAACTTTATAAGTGTCAAGTTTTCAATTTTAAGTATATATTGACTAACACGTTTCAAGACAAGCTAGTTGTATTCACATACAGTAAGTTTGTATAGGGAAAACATCTTGCCCGGTTTTGCTACCACGGACGAGCTGCAACATTGCTGATACGGCTGAAAGATTACTCGTTCCTGTTGTCTACCTGTCTATAGTTCATCAGCCAAGGTTCGAAACGTTCAACACTGTTTCTCATACCATAAAACGTCAGCATTAAAGAATAATTAGTCTGGATTGTCTGCTGAAACATACTTGCAGTGGCTTGACCAACCCTGAAACAAATCAACAACCAATGACAAAATGAGGGGACTCCAGGTTGTAATAGCTCCAGAAGCAATTCATGTTCGTCGTAAGAGTTTTCGTTGACCGTTGCTCTTTCCCAGAGCTCAAAAGACAAATCTCAAATGACGTAAACTCTTTTCGTTCTGAAGGAAAATACACCGTCTTCGCCCCGACAGACACGGCACTGCAAACTCTACCTCCAGATGTGATTTCGCAGCTGTACCAACAGCAGAACCTGCCCCAGTTGAAGGCCATGGTCAGGTATTACATCGCACCGTACACTGGGAACACACAGAGACAGTGGAAAGGGGAGAAAGTCAACACTCTGGCGTCAAAACCTGTTCGCCTGGTCACCTACCCACACAACCATGTACGTCACTAGCGTCTAGAGTGTTAAACGTGTTTTGAAGCCATACCATAAATCTGTTTGATTATAACTTCATTGTTTGTCTGTATTTATTTTTCCTCACCATATTTGTGTTTAATGTTAAATGTACGCAGTTTGTCTTGCATACAGGTGACTGTTGTCAACGGCGTGGTCATGCAGGAATCCAACCTGAGTGTCTCCAATGGACATATTTATCTGCTGAGCTCTCCCTTGACACCGCCGAGTAGTGATATTGTCCAAAGTCTACAACAGGACTCCAAGTACTCCAAATTTCTCACTGCTATCGCCTTGTCGGGAATGACGAACACACTTAAAGGTTTGAGAGTCCTCACTCTGGAATTACCTGGATTTGAAGCACTGTTGTTAACGTTAAATATCATTAACATATGTAAGTCGGTGTTTATGAGCTAGTTTGAAATTGTGTGTAACATTGCTATGCTACGTTCAGTACACAGACAAACTAACCGCTTCCTTAGTTTAGTGGTTAGAGCGTCTGCCCGGAGAGCGGAAGGTCGCGGGTTCGATCCCCGGCCGCGTCATACCAAAAGACGTTAAAATATGCTACTTGTTGGTCCCTGCCTGGCACTCGGCATTAATGGGTATAACAAGGACTGGTCGGCTCGGAGTCAGTATAATGTTTCTGAGTAGAGTATTCATGCTTAACTGCTGCATGGTATCTCAGTGAGCTACCACTATAAAACCAGCTTGTCTGGGCAAGTACAGGCAGCCACACATACGCACGCATGTACGTCGTCATATGAGCGAAATATTCTTAAGTACGACGTTAAACCCCATTTCAACTCTCCTCACCGCAGGTAAACTTTACATGACAATATGTGTTCACGTATGCAAGTAAATGTTTTATATTTGACAATTCTCTGTGTTCACGTACACAGGTGACAATGATATTTATTTAACAGTTCAAATTCAATGGAAATTAAATATAATTCCGAATAATTGTTGAACGTTTTCTACACAGGAGACAACATCACAGTCCTTGCTCCCACTGATGATGCATTTGATAAAATGGCTAAAAATAGGACGGATGCTATATTTAACAACGTACCACTAATGAAAGGTGAGTGATGCTTTCTTCAACACCATTATCCTTCTGAAAGGTGAGCAAAGCTTTCTTCAACAACATTACCACTCTGCCAGGTGTGAAATCTTTTTTTCAAAAACATTTAATTTACCATTCTCTTCGGTGAGTGATGCATTCTTCAAAAACATTACCATTCTCTTCGGTGAGTGATGCATTCTTCAACAACATTACCATTGTGAGAGGTGAGCGATGCTTTGTGCAACGCCATTACCATCCTGCGAGGTGAGCGATATAGAATAAACTTTATGGATAACAACTTCTTTTATTCGTTTATGCGGACTCCATAAAGTGTGCTCTATATTGTACTTCCCAACTTCTAAAATGCCACTGAAAGAAGAGGTGAGCAATGCTTTGTTCAACAACATTACCATTGAATTTCTCTTCGGTGAGTGATACGTTTTAAACTACCTTTAAGGTGAGAGATGCTTTCTTCATAAACATTCCTTTGCTGCAAGATGAGTGATATGACATGCCTTCTTCTACAACACTGTTCGCTAATGCCTACCTAACCTGTAAGAATCATTCATGAACCATGACATTTTTATACCTTCTGAAAAAAAGCGTGTTGTTTCAAAAATAGATACATTTTCTACTCTTCACTGACTTGTATTTTCGCCCACTCCCAGCACTGGTGGAATTCCACCTCCTGCCTGGCACCATCTACACTTATGGATGGTATGACAAAGAGAACATCCACGACGACAACACCAAATACGACAACACCCTCACTGTCCACGAATGGGGCAAGTGTTAACTTCATTATTTCATTGCTGGGACAGGGGCGGATCCAGTATTTGGGAGAACGGTGTGTGTGTGTGTGTGTGTGTGTGTGTGTGTGTGTGTGTGTGTGTGTGTGTGTGTGTGTGTGTGTGTGTGTGTGTGTGTGTGTGTGTGTGTGTGTGTGTGTGTGTGTGTGTGTGTGTGTGTGTGTGTGTGTGTGTGTGTGTTGCACATAAATCATGAAGTCCAAAGGTTTGGGGGAAGTGCTTCTCGGGAAAATCCGCACCCTCGCACCCCTTGGATCAGCGCCATTACATATGTCCAAAGTAATTATATTGGCGGTGATCGAAAGCGTCACTATGCCAATGGCAAGCTGCTTCCCTTGGATGTGCCAAAAAAGGTTGGTAATTGGTACGGTGAGGGGATGTGGGGTTTAACGTTGTAGTTAAGAATATTTCGCTCATATGACGACGTGCATGCGTGTGTATGTGGGTCTGTTTGAATAACCCAGACTTAAGCTGGTTTTATAGTACTAGCTCACTGAGATACCATGCCGCGGTTAAACATGAATACCCCACTTAGATACATTATACTGACTCCGAGCCGACCAGTCCTTGTTGTACCCAATAATGTCGAGCGCCAGCCAGGGACCAACAAGAACCATATTTTAACGTCTTTTGGTATGATGCGGCCGGGGATCGAAGCCGCGACCTTCCGCTCTCCGGGCGGACGCGATGATTGGTACAAACACCGATTATGTTTATTGGTTTGTGAGCACCTTAATTGTCATCGTTGGTTTCAACAAGATGATCTGCAAAACATCGAGTTACACTGCACATCAAGTTGGCACGCCGATATATAGAGAGAGATGGATTCACTCCCTCAGTCTCCTAATCACTCACTCACTCACTCACTCGCTTTAATTTTAACAGGTCACCATCAGTTCTGGATTACACCGTTTGAAGGAGGTGTGGTGAACCAGGATTGGCTTGCAACTAATGGCGTCATTCATGCCATCAATGGACTGAAGTATACATGGCCGTTCTATGGAGCTATTTCGAAGATTATCGGCTAAATCCAAGGCTGAGATAACACATTCTAAATAAATATACATTGATCTGGACTGTCGTCTAGGTTTGTTTCCTTCGCGGGGATCGTGCTTGTTGCTGCTCCTCATGCAAAATACATATACCATATTTTCCATGCATACCAATACTCCTAGCCGACCTCTGTCAGCCTTCAGTGAATGATTATGTAATAAAGAAATCACGAGGATCTGTATCTTCGTTCATAATCACTACATTCGAGAGAGCAAATTAAAAGTCATTGAAGATCTCAGTAATATCCAAACCTCTCTTTTCATAGAAAAACAGCCCTGATATGGTCATAATCAAGGCGAATGTATATCAAAACCGATCAAAGCACAACTCTACACAGCGAAGTGTTGTGTGTCACACATACGTTAGGTCCTGCTCCCATATAGACTAGGTGAGCTACAATCTACAGAACTATCGGACGAGGGCGACACATCTGTCACATACGCAGGAGCCGATAGCGACAGTGTGAGGAAGATAACAATACATGTTTTTCATGGAATTAATATCTTATACCTAAACAATTGTTATCTTCTGAGATTAAACTCCTAATTATAAGACAGGGAGTGCTGAAAACTTACACATATGGACGAAACACTTCTTTACGACCTTGTGACTCAAGGTCATAAAGAAGTGTTTCGTCCATATGTGCAAATGTTCAGCACTCCCTGTCTTATTTTTCACATTTTTCAGTGGGAAAAGTAAAGCTGATGTGAGTTCCTGGGATGGGAATGTTGTTCTTGAGTTTTGTGCTGTTGGCATAGACGGTCGCCGGAGATGGGAGAACATATTGTCCTAGATGCCCTCAACTATAGGTTTAACGTATGTTATATTTGGGATTACACGTTCTTAGTAAAGTTCAGATTCTAGTACTTTGTTGGGTTGAGTCCCATCTGTGATGCGAACCCACACCCTCAGGCACATATCGCCAGCACGCAAGCTCAGCCACCGCGGCTCCCATTATTTGGCATATGTTTGGACAACCCCCTTGATTATATTTGTAATCGCAATTGGTAGGAGGCTGGTCTCAGTGAAAAGTCACCTATGATTACACTGCATTTGATACACTGATACACACTCAAGTATAGAATATACCTGTGTGAAGGTCAGTATATTGTCCTGGTGCCAAGTGACATAGGACTACCAGACAGCTTCATGACCAGCCTACATCGCCATAAGCGGCAGTAAATGAACATCCTCAAGTACCATCATCCCCTACACCGGCCACCTCAGCAAACAATGGAAAGGACAAGCCGTCAACACACTCGCTTCTAAACCAGTGCAAACTGTCACCTATGCTTACAATAAGGTGTCAGCGTGTTGGTTCAATATTGTAATAATTTTTTTATCAATTCGGTAAATCATATTTTGGCATAATTACAACAAATTCAAATAAATTAGCATGGACCAAATTCACAATTTGCAATTTATTGGTAATTATTTTTGTCATTTTACGTACGAGTGAAGTAATGTTTCAGATTAAGTTTAAGAAAAACAAGTGTTATGGTTTAAGCATTTCACGACTCAGCACGTACCATAACAAGTATCTCCTTTAAAACAACTTTTCAAACGGCACATTTCAAGCAAATATATTATTATTTATTGCTTAAGTGCTGATCATTTAAATAGTCAAGAGGATGGTGTTTTCTGTGGCAAAATTACCTTACTTTTTCAATACGACACACACCCGCAGTAAGACTTAGACGTAATGTACATTCAAGGATTATTATACTTATGTTATCATTATATTTTCAAGAACACAAATTATCAGTTGGACCTACATTTAGTTGATGTGTTGTTAGAAAATGCATTTCCTTACAACAGGTATCATCATGAAGGAGTCAAATCTATCCGCTTCTTGTGTCAGAACGTAAGACTCATAGGTTAGCATGAGAAGAAGACTTGCTAACATGTCCTTCACACCCATTTCATATGTAACAGTTTGTTTTAGTCCGATTTTATATGACAGGTAATAGCCATACAACTACTATTCAACAGATTGGCTGGGCACAAATGGCGTCATCAACGTCATAAATCACGTGCTTCTCCCACACGGGTCTTCAAAGCACGTTCACTTTGGTTGATAATAACACTATAAAAACAACAACATAATAAAATATCCATTATAACTGCTGTACTTCTCACAAGCGTTTTCTATTTCACAATATATAATGCAAGAACATTACAAATTGTTGGACAGTTTCCTTGTTTCGGTAATTGGACACACTTATATACAAAAGGAAGTATAAGAACGTCAGAACATAATTTCACATTTCGTCGTGCACTTGATTTGTCCCCAGAATGACGTCAGAAGGCTGCACTCGACACTCCAAATCCTTACTTGAGACTTGAAACTTCACGCCGGTAGATAGGTTACCCAATAGAAAATATTGATGGCGATGAACGCTGCAGGAAAAAGAAATCTGGCCACTTTGTCTATTTTACTGACACTATTCAGTCCGAGTGCATTCCGAACATGCTTGTTAAACTTTCTGTTCCTCTTGTCGAGAATACACTTGCCCCATTTTGTAAGGCATTGTAAACACCTGTTGCAGCCGCCTTCTGTGAATACACCGCCAGCTGTTGTGGAAGAAGGGAGATAACTCTCTTCAAGCTGAATACAAAAGCAAGTCATTTAGTTATGGGTGCGACAACGGATTAAAGTTTGTTAAATATATACACGGAACAACAAAATACAACAACTTTGTACATGTTGTTTGTTGTTAAACGCCGCACAGCAATATTCTAGCTATACGGCGCGGTTTAACAATAATCGAGTCTGAACCAGACAATCCGGTGATCGACTTTGTTTATGAACTTACATTATAAGCGAACACAACAGAAATATACCTGTTTTGTAGCGATTTGGGTTCAATGCCGCTTTGAACAGTATTCCAGTTTTGTCGCGGCGGGTGAGTTCTCTCTCTCTCTCCCTCTTTCTTACCTCTCCCTCGCTGTCGTCACTCAACATCTCCCTGTCGTCGGTACTGTATTTTGTAAAATAGTGGACAGCGGCAAACTGGACAATGGACGCCATGACAAACAGGAAGCACATGACGACGTAGATGTCCAGTGCCGTGTAGTACGCCACGTGGGGAAGGTCGTCGCGGTTCTCCAGGGCAAGGAAGGTCATGGTCAGTATGGTGGTCGTGCCTGCAACAAGAAGATTAGTTAGTGGGCGGATATGTCTGCCAAACTGTAGGCGAAACCACCAAATGAAGTTGGATCTAATAGTAAGCACCACACACACAGACACACGCACACACATGCGCGCACACACACACACACACACACACACACACACACACACACACACACACACACAAACATACATACACACAAACACACACTACTATTCATCAGCACGATGAACTGATCAACTGACTTTGGCATATTCACATCAGAAAGGAGAAAGGAGATGGTTCATAAACTTCCCCAACGAGAAAGTCAAGCAGCAAACTCTTAAAGATTCTGAGCCGAACAATCTGTGACTGTCTTGACTGTTGGTTGGATGATATTCAGTGAATTCAAAGCGACAGTTATGCACTGTAGTCATGGCGACAACACACGTGGCGACTTGTGCACAGGTGCACTGCCCCGTTGTGACAACACACCAGTGTGAGTTTCCCACGTCTTGATAATGTCAAGCAGCTTCCTAAGCAGATATATTGGCCATTATCAGAGTGACCTTTCGGGAAGTAGGCTTTTAATCAACAAGAAGGATTTCAATGGAATCCAAGGGAACCGAAGCCAGATGGCAAGATGCCTTCGTCTTTGGACAACACGTCAGATATTCCCACTGGCCTGATTGTTGTGTTGTCTTTGTCTCTTAATAATGAACCACAACTCATCCATGGCTACAAAGTTAGTTGCGTCTACTTAATCGTCTAAAGATGATGATCTTGGAGCGTATCTGACCAGGGATTCTAAGCCTTGGAAATCAACAAGCTGAAACCGTTGTCGTGTCCAGCTCATTCCTTCAGAACTGTAGTGTCTAAGTGGCGAGTCTATGTTCCTTGTGGCGAGTCGTCGATCACAGATGGCAGTGGCACGGGCAGGGATGACAGTGCTTAAATCTGACTCCATGTCCGCAAGAATGGTTATTGGAGTCAATGCTGGGCAGTAAATGTTTACTTCAACAGAGGATAGCTGATACCTGCAGATATGTTACCCCTGGTCGTGCCTAAAGCAAGTGACATATTGTACTTTACCTCCTTTGTACTTATTGGCAGATCTCTTCAGGCACTCGTAGCATTCATGGATCAACAGTATTAGTGTCGATACTGTCCTCTATCCAACCGAATGACAACTCTGGAATCTCGGACTCACATCTACGCCATTGTATAACATATTGATTAACACTTTTCCAATTGTCTGTGGTGATAAGTACAGCATTGTAAAACATATTAAACCAACCTCCACCTTGCGTGTGTCTGTTACAACGTGATGACCACTGCAGCATTGTATAATATATTTAACCAGTCTTCACTGTGCATGATGATAACTGCCGCAATGTGTCCGAAAAACACATAGTACAGCATTCCCGATGAGAATATATTATTTTTCTTACACCATCCACGCTCACTAAAATGATGAACTATGACTTCTCTGTTATTGTCTGTTGAAACAATCCACTTTGGTCCAACAACAAAGAACCATGTTCTCGCTTCACATTGAATATCGACTCTAAATTGAAACTGAGAGTTTACAAAAATAACAACAATAATATAAAAATGTATCAGTACTCTCATCCATTGTAAAATGTACTATTTGACCAACGTTATGCGTGTAACTCGATAATGATACCAGTTTCGAAATCTTCACAAATGACCCAAGATATTGCTAATGAGCACAAGTTTCTGTTTGATATCGTATAACGTTTCGAAAATTGCCCATCGAACTTACATCTGAGTGTCATATCATGGTGTATCTTTAGATCAAGGAACACTCTCAATGTATACTAGCCACATAAAGAAACTGTGCATTGTCAATATATTATCCCAGTTGATAAGTACGATAACAATGTCAAAGGTACATATAAACTTTAATGGAGGGATCATGAGACCATAACAAGTCGGGAGAATTTCAAATGAAAAGTCAATCACAATGACGTCACGAGTCCACAAGCGGGACAGGGGTCAAACGACCATGTCACAAGCTCAATAACGGGTATGTCCACCATCGGCATTGAGAACAGCAGTGCATCGACGACACATAGAGCCTATCAAACGTGCAAGGAAGGCTTGTGGGATGTCACGCCTGATTCTCTCAAGTTCTGTTGCAAGTTCAAGGACGTTATCTGGCGGATGAGGAAAACGGCGTAGACGTCGATCCATCTCGTCCCAAACATGCTCTATCGGGGAGAGATCCGGTGAATTTGCAGGCCAAGGCAGTAAGTCAACGTTGTAGTGTTGCAAGAAATCCATAGCAACCCTTGCCGTATGAGGGCGGGCATTGTCCTGTTGGAATGTTAACCCAGGGCCATGACGTTGCAGAAAAGGAATTGCCGCAGGTCGAAGAATCTGATCCCTGTAGCCCACACCAGTTAAGTTGCCCTGAACAATCACCAAAGGAGTTCTTTGGCGTGCTGTTAAATCCACCCCAAATCATCACGGAACCACCACCAAAGTGATTCCTCTCCAAGACACAGGCCTGTGCATAACGTTGTCCCACGCGTCTATAGGCACGTTGACGTCCATCACTATGGGAAATGTTAAACCTGGACTCATCTGTAAAAACAACATTTCTCCACCAAAACAAGGGTCTGCGGACATGATTTCGGCACCACATTCGGCGAGCTTGTCGATGACGTTATGTCAGGATAGGCCGTATGGCGGGACGTCGTTGTCTGATCCCGTGATGACGTAAACGTTGTCGAACTGTGTTGGGGTGGATACGGCGAAGTCCTGGGGGATGGTTCGGGCAGTCATCACTGCAGTCTGATACCTGTGGCGAAGATGGGTCACCCTTATCCATATGTCCTGTCTTGGCGTTGTTACACGTGGACGTCCAGAACGTGGCTGATCGATGACGTCATTTGTGTTCTGGTAGCGTCTCACCAGTGCAGAAATGGTGTTCCGGTGGCAGTGGAAATGTGCAGCCACTTGTCGTTGAGACATTCCCCCCCACGGACCATCCCAATGGCCTCATGACGTTGTGCAGACGTGAGCCTTGGCATGCTATGCGTTTCAATAACCGTTTAATTTTTTTAACGATCGCAAGGGCAGGGGTTGAGCTTTCCAAAGTGACAGTATTGTGTGGCATTCATTTGCTCTGTTTCTCTTTCCCGGAATGCACGTGCAACAAAGAATTGCACGTCTCAAGGTCGAACCCACTGACGTCACGGAACGTGGCACGTGCATGCATGTTGGATACATGTCACTAATCTCTGAGTTTCAATCCTTATGTGTCTACACAGGTTTGATAAATTTAGATATTAAATTTTTGTATGCACAGTTTCTTTATGTGCCTAGTATATTATGGAACTCATTCCGCCATGATAGACAAATCACTTGCAAAATACATATAGTTCTCCAGGATGTCAGATCACGTGAGTTTAGCAAGTTTAACCATGCTATAGCATGAAACAAGTGTCTTTTTCACTTTCAAAAACTGAATTTTTAAAGTGTAGTAAGTGGAATAAATGTTCTATTGGTACACGAAACAAGTTTATAATGGTGTCCCTTTTTTAACGTATTTTGCACACCAACATGACAGAGCCACGAACGAATTATACTACAAGTGAAATATGTTCTGCAATTTGTGAATAGCTAAACAAGAAGCGAACCTGGTGATTGGCAAGTGGATGAGGACGCCCCGTGTAATACTATCATCACTTGTGTAGGAGGACGTCAATTTATATCACTGTCTTAAGAAGACGTCATTTACATGAACAGTGCACCCGGGAAGATCAGGGTTAGAATTGGTTTTCAGAAACGTGACTTGTGTAGGAGGACGTCAGTTTACATCACTGCCTTAAGAAGACGTCAAATTACAGGAACAGTGCACCCGGGAAAATCCGGGTTAGAATTTGTTTTCCGAGACCCATACTTGTCGTAAAAGGCGACTAATGTGATCGGGTGGTCATGTGACTTGCTTGACACATGTCATTGTATCCCAGTTGCGTAGATCGATGTTAATGCTGTTGATCACTGGTCCAGATTCGATCATTTACAGACCTCCGCCATATAGCTGGAATATTGCTGAGTGCGGCGTTAAACAACAAAGAAACCAACCAACAAGAAGACGTCCGTTTACATGAACAGCGTAAGAATACATCAATTTACATCAACAGTGTAAGTAAACGTCTGTATACATCAAAGCGTGCAAGAAGACGTCCGTTTCCACCCAAGTGAAAGAAGTAGCCAGTTTACATCAAAGAGTAAGAAGGCGTCAGTTTACATCAGAAGAGTAAGAAGGCGTCAGTTTACATCAAAGAGTAAGAAGGCGTCAGTTTACATCAAAGAGTAAGAAGGCGTCAGTTTACATCAAAGAGTAAGAAGGCGTCAGTTTACATCAAAGAGTAAGAAGAGGCCAGTTTACATCAAAGAGTAAGAAGACGTCAGTTTACATCAAAGAGTAAGAAGAGGCCAGTTTACATCAAAGAGTGAGAAGAGAAGACGTCAGTTTACATCAAAGAGTAAGAAGAGAAGTAAGAAGAGGCCAGTTTACATCAAAGAGTAAGAAGAGGCCAGTTTACATCAAAGAGTAAGAAGACGTCAGTTTACATCAAAGAGAGAGAAGAGGCCAGTTTACATCAAAGAGTAAGAAGACGTCAGTTTACATCAAAGAGTAAGAAGAGGTCAGTTTACATCAAAGAGTAAGAAGAGGCCAGTTTACATCAAAGAGTAAGAAGACGTCAGTTTACATCAAAGAAGACGTCAGTTTACATCAAAGAGTGAGAAGACGTCAGTTTACATCAAGAGTGAGAAGACGTCAGTTTACATCAAAGAGTAAAGAAGACGTCAGTTTACATCAAAGAGTGAGAAGACGTCAGTTTACATCAAAGAGTAAGAAGACGTCAGTTTACATCAAAGAGTAAGAAGACGTCAGTTTACATCAAAGAGTGAGAAGACGTCAGTTTACATCAAAGAGTGAGAAGACGTCAGTTTACATCAAAGAGTAAGAAGACGTCAGTTTACATCAAAGAGTAAGAAGACGTCAGTTTACATCAAAGAGTAAGAAGAGGCCAGTTTACATCAAAAGAGTGAGAAGACGTCAGTTTACATCAAAGAGTAAGAAGACGCCAGTTTACATCAAAGAGTAAGAAGACGTCAGTTTACATCAAAGAGTAAGAAGCGTCAGTTTACATCAGAAGACGTCAGTTTACATCAAAGAGTAAAGAAGACGTCAGTTTACATCAAAGAGTGAGAAGAGGCCAGTTTACATCAAAGAGTAAGAAGACGTCAGTTTACATCAAAGAGTAAGAAGACGTCAGTTTACATCAAAGAGTAAGAAGAGGCCAGTTTACATCAAAGAGTAAGAAGAGTCAAGAAGACGTCAGTTTACATCAAAGAGTAAGAAGACGTCAGTTTACATCAAAGAGTGAGAAGACGTCAGTTTACATCAAAGAGTAAGAAGAGGCCAGTTTACATCAAAAGAGTGAGAAGACGTTTACATCAAAGAGTAAGAAGAGTCAGTTTACATCAAAGAGTAAGAAGACGTCAGTTTACATCAAAGAGTAAGAAGACGTCAGTTTACATCAAAGAGTAAGAAGACGTCAGTTTACATCAAGAGTAAGAAGACGCCAGTTTACATCAAAGAGTAAGAAGACGTCAGTTTACATCAAAAAGAGTAAGAAGACGTCAGCAGTTTACATCAAAGAGTAAAGAAGACGTCAGTTTACATCAAAGAGTAAGAAGACGTCAGTTTACATCAAAGAGTAAGAAGAGGCCAGTTTACATCAAAGAGTAAGAAGACGTCAGTTTACATCAAAGAGTAAGAAGACGTCAGTTTACATCAAAGAGTGAGAAGACGTCAGTTTACATCAAAGAGTGAGAAGACGTCAGTTTACATCAAAGAGTAAGAAGACGTCAGTTTACATCAAAGAGTGAGAAGACGTCAGTTTACATCAAAGAGTAAGAAGAGGCCAGTTTACATCAAAGAGTAAGAAGACGTCAGTTTACATCAAAGAGTGAGAAGACGTCAGTTTACATCAAAGAGTGAGAGAAGACGTCAGTGAGTAAGAAGACGTCAGTTTACATCAAAGAGTAAGAAGACGTCAGTTTACATCAAAGAGTAAGAAGAGGCCAGTTTACATCAAAGAGTGAGAAGACGTCAGTTTACATCAAAGAGTGAGAAGAGGCCAGTTTACATCAAAGAGTGAGAAGAGGCCAGTTTACATCAAAGAGTAAGAAGAGGCCAGTTTACATCAAAGAGTAAGTAGACGTCAGTTTACATCAAAGAGTAAGAAGGCGTCAGTTTACATCAAAGAGTAAGAAGGGGTCAGTTTACATCAAAGAGTAAGAAAAGGCCAGTTTACATCAAAGAGTGAGAAGATGTCAGTTTACATCAAAGAGTGAGAAGAGGCCAGTTTACATCAAAGAGTAAGAAGATGTCAGTTTACATCAAAGAGTAAGAAGACGTCAGTTTACATCAAAGAGTGAGAAGACGTCAGTTTACATCAAAGAGTAAGAAGACGTCAGTTTACATCAAAGAGTGAGAAGACGTCAGTGTACATCAAAGAGTAAGAAGACGTCAGTTTACATCAAAGAGTGAGTAGACGTCAGTTTACATCAAAGAGTAAGAAAAGGCCAGTTTACATCAAAGAGTAAGAAGACGTCAGTTTACATCAAAGAGTGAGAAGACGTCAGTTTACATCAAAGAGTGAGTAGACGTCAGTTTACATCAAAGAGTGAGAAGACGTCAGTGTACATCAAAGGGTAAGAAGACGTCAGTTTACATCAACGAGTGAGAAGACGTCAGTTTACATCAAAGAGTAAGAAGAGGCCAGTTAACATCAAAGAGTGAGAAGACGTCAGTCTACATCAAAGAGTGAGAAGAGGCCAGTTAACATCAAAGAGTGAGAAGAGGCCAGTTTACATCAAAGAGTAAGAAGATGTCAGTTTACATCAAAGAGTAAGAAGACGTCAGTTTACATCAAAGAGTAAGAAGACGTCAGTTTACATCAAAGAGTGAGAAGACGTCAGTTTACATCAAAGAGTGAGAAGGCGTCAGTTTACATCAAAGAGTAAGAAGGGGTCAGTTTACATCAAAGAGTGAGAAGACGTCAGTTTACATCAAAGAGTAAGAAGACGTCAGTTTACATCAAAGAGTGAGAAGATGTCAGTTTACATCAAAGAGTGAGAAGACGTCAGTTTACATCAAAGAGTAAGAAGAGGCCAGTTTACATCAAAGAGTAAGAAGACGTCAGTTTACATCAAAGAGTGAGAAGGCGTCAGTTTACATCAAAGAGTAAGAAGAGGTCAGTTTACATCAAAGAGTAAGAAGAGGCCAGTTTACATCAAAGAGTGAGAAGATGTCAGTTTACATCAAAGAGTAAGAAGGGGTCAGTTTACATCAAAGAGTGAGAAGATGTCAGTTTACATCAAAGAGTGAGAAGACGTCAGTTTACATCAAAGAGTGAGAAGAGGAAAGTAAAGAAGATGTCAGTTTACATCAAAGAGTAAGAAAGACGTCAGTTTACATCAAAGAGTAAGAAGAGGTCAGTTTACATCAAAGAGTAAGAAGGCGTCAGTTTACATCAAAGAGTGAGAAGACGTTAGTTTTCATCAAAAAGTAAAAAGACGTCAGTTTACATCAAAGAGTGAGAAGGCGCCAATTTACATCAAAGAGTAAGAAGAGGCCAGTTTACATCATCAACACTGTAAGAAAAAATTCATTTACGTGATCGACACTGTAAGAAGACGTCAGGTTTACATCAGTAACACAATAATAACACCCTCATTTACATCATCAGCGCTTTAAGGAGAAGTAAGTTTACCGAGAGCGATTCTGTCGGATGTGGCCTCCCTGTTGATCCAGAAGGAGACCCAGGACAGTACGACCAAGAGGCAGCAGGGCACGTACACCTGGATGAGGAAGTACCCGGTGTGACGTCTCATGTGGAAGAACACCGTCAGGATGGAGTGTACAGCTGTAACAGAGTTTACAGTTTATCAGTGCACCTGATAATGGCTCCAACTGGTTACAGGTACACATACATTGTCTGACTTGGACGTTATATATCGATTAGTATGTAGGATTATAAGTGTTGTTTATGGCTTTCACTGCAAACATAAGGATTGCTCATGGTATTTGCACTGCGTCAACCATACCGTCAGGTTGGTAGTCCCTTTCGTCGTATGCTTATGTGGGGAAATTAGGTACCTGGACATATCGACTAATTTGATTAAATAAGTATAAGTCAAATATACACGAGATACCTTCTTCTATTTTTAATGTCAGAATCGTGATTTTTTTATTATGTTTTTTGGGGGGATGGGGGACATGCCGTATAGTTTTCTGTGTTTTTAACTACACCATGCACATCGATTACCTATAAACTAACACATATCTCAGTATTCTTAATTATAGAATTACAAAAACAGATCGAAACCATCAGAATACCACCGTGGAACATTTTTGTCTTAAATGCCATTAATGTTTGCTGTAAGAAAGTTTTCTGTGAATTATTTCTTTTACATTGCGCAAATAATGGTAGGAACAGACAGTCATTGCTGTCTATGACTACTTCCACATTCCATCAGTTGATATAGACCTAATAAACTCGAAATAAGGTAATCCAAATACCATAAAATGTGCATCAGTATACCTGTAAAGATCAATGCTGCCATCAGGACCAAATTAGCTCTTTGATTATATCTACTTTGGGCATCTCCTCTTATACGTACCTCCTTTCAGATATTTGGAAGCGTTGTTTGCAGGAAGACCAACGATATCAAATTGTGACATTGTTACATCCGGGTATATAGATATCGCCTTCATGTTGCCATAGCGCCAGATATATATGACGTCATCGTGTGAATAGCCAACTGTTTGTCAGAATGATATAAGAGTACATATCATTTATTGTAACATTATATAGCAATAACGCTTGTTCGTCAGACATGTATCATGAGCTTGCTATCATCGCATCCTGATGTTACATTTCTTAATATCAGACTTTAATCTAACCTTTTATCATTTTGTCCTTTATTTTTCAGTCTTAACATTTTCTTAAATATCCATTTTTTGACATATGAGTCCATATTAGATCATAAAAACATTGCTGCATTACCTCAGAATATAATATGTACTATTCAAAGGAAAATATGGCGCAGTTTAACAGACAAATAACATTCTAATTCAAATTTTATTATTTCCTTAACTATACCACTCCCGTACACTCATGGCAGTACTCCCATTTTAGATAATTTCATCCGACATTTTAATCCACTGAAAGCAGACTTTGGAGCTATTGTCTGAAGGGTCACCTATACGGAGACTATAATCATCTTTTATTATGCTATTAAGTCACATATTTGATTAAGTATGAAATCGAACGTTCAACAATCAGCATCTTTAGTACCTAATACCTTGTACTTACAACTTCCAACTCTAAGAGGACATTTCTGAGTATCCATTGGGAACGATTCCAAGTCCATCCGGCAATGGGCCTTTATTGTCAATCTGAAGTGAAATGGAAACCCAGTCCTCAAAGAAACATACAATATATTATATGATATATTCGTTTGTAAGTTGTTTAACGTCGCACTCAGCAATGTTCCAGCTATATGGCGACGGTCTTGAACTAAAAGAGTCTGGAAAAGACAATCGAGCGATCAACAGCATGAGCATCGATCTACGCAATGGGATACGATGATTTGTGTCTACCAAGTCAGCGAGCTTGGCCTACCTATCCCGTTAGTCGCCTCGTACAAGCATGGGTTGCTGAAGACCAGTTCTAACCCGGATCTTCACGGGTACTATCAAATAGTGATGATATCAGGACTAGTGTTCGCGAAAAGGTGAAAATGTCCCCTCCCACCGATGGCACCCGACAAGGTAATAGTTCCCTCAAAATAACACACACGGGAAGATAAGGTTCAAGAGGAAATAGGGAATAACATGAGAATATCATTTTGGTCTGTGATGCGACAAATTTGGATACTAGTATCATAAAGCTGTCTAAAAGATCATACATATATGATCATATATATGTATGATTAACCCAACAGACTCAATGATGAAATATACATACTTTTTCCATAAAAAAATTCATCGAAATAGCGTACTGTGGCACAGAAGGAACATATATTGTAATACAGTGTCCGAAACGACACATTACGAAATATATATTGTCCTCAATGACACATAGTCGCTTACGAAATATAAAATATTGTCCTCAATGACACATGGTTGCTGACGAAATATAATATATTGTCCTCAATGACACATAGTCGCTTAAATATATATTGTCCTCAATGACACATAGTCGCTTACGAAATATATATTGTCCTCATTGACACATAGTCGCTTACGAAATATATATTGTCCTCAATGACACATGGTCGCTTACGAAATATATATTGTCCTCAATGACACATAGTCGCTTACGAAATATATATTGTCCTCAATGACACATGGTCGCTTACGAAATATATATTGTCCTCAATGAAACATAGTCGCTGACGCAAACATAGTCCTCAATGACACATGGTCATTTACGACATGGTCTCAATGACACATGGTCGACGAAATATATATTGTCCCTCAACGACACATGGTCGCTTAGGAAATATATATTGTCCTCAATGACACATGGTCGCTTACGAAATATATATTGTCCTCAATGAAACATAGTCGCTTACGAAATACATATTGTCCTCAATGACACATGGTCGCTTACGACATATATATTGTCCTCAATGACACATGGTCGCTCAGGAAATATATATTGTCCTCATTGACACATGGTCGCTTACGAAATATATATTGTCCTCAATGACACATGGTCGCTTACGACATATATATTGTCCTCAATGACTCATGGTCGCTCAGGAAATATATATTGTCCTCATTGACACATAGTCACTATGCATTTCAATGAATTAAACTTGCTAATGTCATTTTCATCTAGCTCAGTTGAAGTTGAAATAGAAACGACAAAACCTTTTCCACATCTATAAGAAATCTCTGCTAAAAGCCGAGTCGCTTGTACAGTTGTGACTATATCATGAGCAGATATTTGATTCATCAGTATTACAGCTGGACGATGTTATAAAACGTGCATGATCTCCCCTGGAGCAGCCTTTTGGATGAACAATTATATTTATCCCGAAGCAACTACTTTGTTCCAAATGAAACAGGCATTGGCTCCAGAGACACATACATTGGAGACACACATGAAAGGAGATTGTGCATTCAAAGCCTTGCTACACATAGTCGCTACACGCGAAGACGGCTGCCATGTAGTACTAACGAGCCTACGATATTCTGTTCAGAGCTGTTATAAACACAACGGACCATAGTTAATTAGGTAACACAATATGAGAGGTTGAAAGAGGACATCAGCAGTATTGTCTAAAGTTTCATGGTCGTTAGCGTAATCAAACGAAGAAAGAAAGTTAAACCCTCATTTACTATTCTGTTTGGTTGAAGTTAGGAACAGAACCAATTAATATACGGCTGGAATTACACACTGATGTAGAAAAAAGTCATTGTTTTATGAAAAAAAGATTTCCATCAAATTAACTTAATGAAAATTATATTATACGTATTATTTTGCCGCAATATTGTATATTAAGTAAATGTGACTATCACATACAATATATTATATGATATATTCGTTTGTAAGTTGTTTAACGTCGCACTCAGCAATGTTCCAGCTATATGGCGACGGTCTTGAACTAAAAGAGTCTGGAAAAGACAATCGAGCGATCAACAGCATGAGCATCGATCTACGCAATGGGATACGATGATTTGTGTCTACCAAGTCAGCGAGCTTGGCCTACCTATCCCGTTAGTCGCCTCGTACAAGCATGGGTTGCTGAAGACCAGTTCTAACCCGGATCTTCACGGGTACTATCAAATAGTGATGATATCAGGACTAGTGTTCGCGAAAAGGTGAAAATGTCCCCTCCCACCGATGGCACCCGACAAGGTAATAGTTCCCTCAAAATAACACACACGGGAAGATAAGGTTCAAGAGGAAATAGGGAATAACATGAGAATATCATTTTGGTCTGTGATGCGACAAATTTGGATACTAGTATCATAAAGCTGTCTAAAAGATCATACATATATGATCATATATATGTATGATTAACCCAACAGACTCAATCATGAAATATACATACTTTTTCCATAAAAAAATTCATCGAAATAGCGTACTGTGGCACAGAAGGAACATATATTGTAATACAGTGTCCGAAACGACACATTACGAAATATATATTGTCCTCAATGACACATAGTCGCTTACGAAATATAAAATATTGTCCTCAATGACACATGGTTGCTTACGAAATATAATATATTGTCCTCAATGACACATAGTCGCTTACGAAATATATATTGTCCTCAATGACACATAGTCGCTTACGAAATATATATTGTCCTCATTGACACATAGTCGCTTACGAAATATATATTGTCCTCAATGACACATGGTCGCTTACGAAATATATATCAATGACACATAGTCGCTTACGAAATATATATTGTCCCTCAATGACACATGGTCGCTTATGAAAATATATATATTGTCCTCAATGACTTACGACATTGTCGACACATGACGCTCAGGAAATATATATTGTCCTCAATGACACATGGTCGCAATGAAACATACGACGAAATATATATTGTCCTCAATGACACATGGTCGCTCAGGAAATATATATTGTCCTCATTGACACATGGTCGCTTACGACATATATATTGTCCTCAATGACTCATGGTCGCTCAGGAAATATATATTGTCCTCACTGACACATAGTCACAATGCATTTCAATGAATTCAAAACTTGCTAATGTCATTTTCATCTAGCTCAGTTGAAGTTGAAATAGAAACGACAAAACCTTTTCCACATCTATAGAAAGAAATCTCTGCTATAAAGCCGAGTCGCTTGTACAGTTGTGACTATATCATGAGCAGATATTTGATTCATCAGTATTACAGCTGGACGATGTTATAAAACGTGCATGATCTCCCCTGGAGCAGCCTTTTGGATGAACAATTATATTTATCCCGAAGCAACTACTTTGTTCCAAATGAAACAGGCATTGGCTCCAGAGACACATACATTGGAGGCACACATGAAAGGAGATTGTGCATTCAAAGCATTGCTACACATAGTCGCTACACGCGAAGACGGCTGCCATGTAGTACTAACGAGCCTACGATATTCTGTTCAGAGCTGTTATAAACACAATGGACCATAGTTAATTAGGTAACACAATATGAGAGGTTGAAAGAGGACATCAGCAGTATTGTCTAAAGTTTCATGGTCGTTAGCGTAATCAAACGAAGAAAGAAAGTTAAACCCTCATTTACTATTCTGTTTGGTTGAAGTTAGGAACAGAACCAATTAATATACGGCTGGAATTACACACTGATGTAGAAAAAAGTCATTGTTTTATGAAAAAAAGATTTCTGTCAAATTAACTTAATGAAAATTATATTATACGTATTATGTTGCCGCAATATTGTATATTAAGTAAATGTGACTATCACATATAATATATTAGGTATTTATTTATCATTTTTAATATCATTACTCACTTACAACCGTCTTTAAAGTAATTCACAAAGTACATATAATCTGCTCAAGATATAAGCCCAACCCACGTGGATTCAGTTTAATAATATTATCTCATTGCTAGAAAGAAGGACATTGCAGTAGCTGTGATGTAATCAGTGGTTCTGATTGATTCTCTATATCGTTGTCCCATCTGTTCAATATCTGGGACTATTTTGCTGCATGAGACCATAAGCGCGAATCAATTTATTACTAGTCGTTACAATATTAATGAAGAAAGGAAATGCAAAATGTAGTAATGACTAAAATGACATGTGATATTTGTAATTGAGTAGAATTGCCATAAAAGGTAGCCGAGTTGCAATCAATCACGCTAAAGTGATGAAATTAATCCGCATCGTTGATCAAGCTGTTGCATATATCATGGAGGAATTTCCCACGACATGAAAACCCACTCTTTTCCCACTCTCCCTTAACAACAATGGGTGACCACGTGGATCAATCACATTTACTGTGTTACAACTCGTATTAGTTTCATGAACAGTTTGAATACAGGAGCAGATTGCCCCACTCAAACTGAACGCAGTGAGCTGTTTCTGTATTAAATAATTGAGAAGGAATTGTTATATTCATAGGTTATAGTAATAGCACAGCCATAAACTTGTCAAATTATAACGTGTCGTTATAAATCACCTAGCGTTAATAAACAAATCATGCTTCCCTGCTATGAAAATAGCCAATATATTGAGAAAGAAAGTACACCGGGTTTGTTTTATTGTAAAGAACGAGTTTAATTTGTCTTTTTAGTTTTATTATTATCTATTATTTCTATTCAACTATCAATCATTCATGCATTAGTTTGTAAAAGGTAATCTGTCTCTGTATAATCTTTAGTAAAAATGAATGAGTTCAGTGAAGATTGGGATAAGAAATCCATTTCAAACCACATGCCCCTACCGTGTAATGTAAATTTGTGCAAAAAGGCACATTTATTGTTTTCCAAAGATTAGATGTCTACAATACCCACAGCAGTTGTATCATAAGCTGATTATTGTTAATTAACTTAGATATTTTCAATCGAAATTCAAACTTAGGATAAAGTCATCTCACCTTCGTAACTCAGTTCTCAAGCAAGAACTGGGATGTTTCATATTACATCTTTTCTGGTGTTTCAGGAATGTGTGTTGCGTTTTGAACATTATACAATTCCAGTACAAGTGACATACCACATTGAATGAATATATCTATGTTCAGCAAGTGCGACTTACAACGCAAAGACACAACACACGAAGGATTGGTAAAGGAATCTCAACCAATACATAAATTGTAACTCGTCTAGTCCACCATAATAGAGCAATAGCTGCAATGAATACACAATGCCACTTAGCCGGAATGTCAGTGCCACGACATGGACAAATGGGGTAATCATAACAGAATACTCAAATGCATATCACAAGCTTACCATTCTGTCGGAATGGTGATTATTCTACTGTTTGGAGATCGTAACGAAATATACAGATGAGACTGGATGGATATATCTTCATGCTCAGCCTGATGTCAATGCTAATTATTGTTATCCATAAGTGTTTACAAACTCTTACAAACTTTTCAGGTGACAGTACACAGTAACAGATATCAATCAAATGTACCAAGCTGTACCTTTGCGAGAAATAAATATTGCCGTCACTCTGCAGTCTGAAGAACGTGTTTGGTGAGGTAATGGAATGGAGATATGATCTGCCGCCGTTCAGGAAGAATGTGTCAGGGTACCATATCCTCTCCAGCATCCTGCTACTGAGAGAGAGCTCCGAAATGCCCTGCATGGTTGCGTTAAAGGCCAGGCGAGCGTCCTGCCAGAACTGTCGGAAGTAGCAGTCCATCGAGTAGATCTGGAACATATTTTAGGAAATGGTTTGCAAAAGAAATTTCTTTGAAATTTGGAAGCTATCGTCGAATAAGACCTCCCGTGCAAGTAGGATGAGGACTATTTTTATGGATATACAACTTCTATATTCTGTATAAGCCACGTTTCGACATAGATTCTAATGTTGTTGTCAAGCAAGCAACGACATTAGAATCTATGTCGAAACGTCGCCTATACAGAATAAAGAAGTTGTATATCCATAAAAATAGTCCTCATCCTTCATCTACCCAACTTCTAGAATGCCAATCAAAGAACTCCCGTGCAAGTGACAAGGTAATTTAGCACCAAGTTTCGTGAAGCTTAGAAAATATGACACTCTTCATGTTTACCCATCACATGGATTGTACATGGAATATACACTCTAGAAGACTCAGAAAGGCTAAGGGGTTTAGCCAGGCTTGTCCATCTAGCATATGGCGGCCACAATTGTAGCTCATACATTTTATTCAAATTTCACTGAAAGACATTGTATGCCAAATAATGCTTTTCAAACGAGGTGTCATTATGAAAGGTCATTCCAAAATAATGGTGGTAGACATTCAGCAGGGTTTACTGAATAGGCACGTGTCCTGTCAAATATCACATATTTGTTTCACGTATATACATTAATATATGGGGTGGTCAGGCTCGGGGACAGGGGTGGTGGAGCGGTACCGATACCTTAATACGGTGCTCATTGTTGTTGATATCAATCATAGGACTGTCTGGTCCAGACTCGATAATTTCCAGGAAGCCATCATCTGACCTAGGCACTGTGGAGTGTGGTGGAGGCAACGAAAAACACTTAATTTGCTTGTAAATGACACTGAAAATGTGTTTCGAGGAGAGAGTGAGTGAGTTTAGTTTTACGCCGCTTTTAGCAATATTCCAGCAATATCACGGAGGAGGACACCAGAAATGGGTTTCACTCACTGTACCCAAGTGGGGAATCGAACCCAGGTCTTCGGCGTGACGTGCGAACGCTTTAACCACTAGGCTACCCCACTGTCCCGTGTTTCGAGGAGGAACATTGAAGACCTTTCTCTAAGAAACCCATTTCTCTTTATGTACGTCGACATAAAACGGAAACTCAATAGCGACAAGAAAACGTTCATCACGATACACATGCCACTAGCACCCTTAAGGAAAAGTATAAAGACGCATATTCCAGAGCTGACTTGCGAATTAGAGCTGACACTCGAATTAGGAATGTGGATCACGTGTCGCACGTCGGACAGCTTAATGCACCGGGTTGTAAATAGACAGGGAGATACTTGCTATTACACGAAAGACGAGGAAGGCAGGTGGCATTAAATCGAGTGGTAACTGATTACTTAAGCCGATAATTGTTGGAATATCAGTTTAACTGTAGTCATTATCTGCATTATTTACATACATACATAGAGATTCTATCCTTTCTACCAACAGCTGATCAGTGGGTGAAATTTTCAAAATGTTGGGGAAAATGACTTTGTTGCCGGGGTTGTCTTGGACATTTGTTTTTCACCGCTTACACGTTAAAGAAAACCTACCAGAACATAAATGTGTTGGGTTTTGCTTATACATGTACATTGTTTGGTCAAGGGTCATTCAATAACTTTGTAGCGCTTTATGAGGGTTTTTGGTAGATTTTTGGAGGACATCTCAAAACTTATCCTATGCACCTGCATTGACTTAAATAGCATACAATAAAAATGACTTTTACATGTTTTTCAGGTAACAATTGACTTTCTTTGGATGTATCTTTTACGCCTGTGGTAAAGTATACACGATATTTCTGTTGTTGTTTTTGTAAGGATTTAGACACAAGTCTTTAACGCATGTATCCGTAACAACACGTTCAAGACGTGAAACGCCTGCATACTGTGCAGTCCGTGCAAGTAGGACTGATTGCCCTTGAGTCTGAATCTGTGTCCGTTCTACAGACTATGTTGCAGAAATTGAGATGTGGACAAAAAAAAGACTCGTACGGAGTGACTTTATTACATAATCATCGATCAAACATATTTCCTAAGCCTTATCATACGCCAAAGGCTGTGGGATACACAGTCAGCGTTATCTCAATACATGTGCACTGGGAGAACGTCTGATCGTATCTGACGTTTCCACAAAACGTACAGCTCGCCCCAAACTGCTTTGATCCAGAGGCATTTGTAAAATTAATTTCTGTAAACACGGCTAATAATTAGCAGCGATGGCTACACATCAGATGATGATGTATTATTCGCTTCACATGTTCAGATGTTGCCGAGAAACAGTGACACAGGACTATGGGTACATGTATACTGAACCATTAAAGAAATGCAACTCCAATTACGGACAGTTTTAAAGGCGCGAGAACCAGTGACACAGGACTATGGGTACATGTATACTGAACCATTAAAGAAACGCAACTCCAATTACGTACAGTTTTAAATGCGTGATAATTGCTTTATACCAGGCTTCCTCGACAAAATTCTGTGACGACTTGGCACCAATGCGAGAGAGAATGGTATTGATCATGTCACTCTTGCGCCCCATGAGACAATGACAGAATAGATCCGCATCGGGGCATTAATATCAGAAACAGTGGCTTGGCCTCTTGAAATTATAAACACTTCATCATCATGTTTTGTTCTGAATGAATTCATGTATCAACGTTTGGAAAGTCGGGGAGTGGTGTGAGGTTAGTTGAGTGTAGTCACCCGGACGTGACACTGCGACCGAAATCGCTTAATTTTGCCTGGTTTGAGATCTTTTCTATGAGCACATGAACAGATGCCACTGCACTAAACATTTGTCGTTTTTCAGTCGTTCTTGAACCCAAACAGTACCGTATACACACAGCAGTCCTCCACGTATGGATGCAGGAGTTGCATATCAATATCGCATGTGTACGATGATCTGAACATATCTAGTATGTCTATAAGTTGTTGTTTACTGGTTTACAGAACACAACACTGCAATTGTATGACGCATGTAAACGACTTCGTCTATACATCTTAGTTTTAAAATGTCTGTTTGCTAAAAATGCGTACTCAGGAACATTCGAGTCACGAACTGACCATACGCCAATGATTACACGCTCTAAACCAAGACACTGAGTTTGATCCTATGATCCTTCTAGTGGACTCATATGACCAGGGAACCAATCCTAACCAGGAATATTCTCTAAGGTTGGTTAGATTTGCATCATGATATATCAACACCAGTATCAATCAATCAATGATTGATTGATTGATTGATTGATTGACACCAGTACACTGACACAGGTTGATCACGATGCTTGTGCTTTATACGGATGTCCACATGTCCACAACCACAGCTGACACTACATCTGGATGGATTTCACCGACCGGGGTAAACCGTTCAATATTAGTCACTACCTTAAGATGGGTATTTATCACCCAAAACTGTGTTCCACAGGAGATATCGCTTGTGTGAGATCATATGATATCTCCTAGGAGATATCGTTTTGACAGTAGATTTTGTACAGTACTGACAATGCTATGACGTCATGAACTTGATGACGTCACAATGCTATGCCATCGCTGCACTGCACGTCTAATGGTAGTACAGTGTTGAGAGATGTACATTTTGCATTGAAAACTAATGAAGAAATTCTGATTTTTGATGATAAATAGATCAACACTCGTTGATAAAGGTAGAATTATCCTCGACAAGACTCGGATATTTGTAACCTTATCAACTCGTGTTGATATAATTGATACCAGTAGACACTTGGGTGAGATTCTCTATATACTTTCCATTGTGCCAAAACGTTTTTGTGAGGAATTGGTAGACCATTCTAAATTGCTATTTCATTTCAGTAAGCTGTCGTCGATCGATCGACCTCAGTGAGTTTCATGACAACATCTGTAGCTGTTGACGGACGAGGACAGGTGTACACTAAGAGGGTAATATATTCTCATCATATTTCGAAGATGGGCGATGGGGTTAAAGCGTTCGTTCGCCATGCCGAAACCATGTTCGATTCCATACATGGCAACAATTGGTGAAGCCCATTTCAGGTGTCCCCCGTCGTCATATTGCGACGTAAAACTAAACCCACTCACTCAATATTTCGAAGAAACCTGTCTCCTGTATAACATTTTGTTACAAAAACTGGAGTAGTGCCGTTCTTGAGTTGAGGTGGTTCGAATCCCAAGTGTACATATCGAGATCTGTGACTGGAGTGCGAAAGCCTGTTCGCTCTTACTATGTTTCTAGAATTGTCAGTGCCATAGTAGGGATCGTAGATTTTACCAAAGTCTCTTGCTCCAAGTATCACTTGCTCCAACATAAAACAAACACTCTGATATAAGTGAAATACAATTTAAACTTACTCACACACATATTCACTCTCTCATAGTATACATAACTGACATAAGTAAAAACGTATGTCGCATTTAAACTCTTTTTGCCATCGTTCCTTTATTTCTTATTTCTCAGTTGAACTTTAGTTGACTCATGCAACTTTTAATCATCTTTCCACTCGACTGGCTGCACTATCCCAGAGGATATCATATTTAAGACGATTCAAGTAGCACTGTGTCTTGTTGCCAAGGTGATTATTCCTGGGAGTTTGAGTTATGGAAATACACAAGTACGCTATATGAATCATCTGATCTGAATTATTAATTCTTGTCACAAGGTATAAAAACGCTTTCATCATCGTCATTTAGTTTAATATCTGCTATTGTTTATCTATTCCTAACTGTCAGTTCAGATAAGGATGGATGGAGCTACGTCTGTAGTTGTCAGTACACGACATTAAAGTACTGATTCCTGGAAGTATAGCTGGTTTCCATGGTAAATCATTCCATGTCGTCAGTTCTGTATCAGTAAGTGTCGGATGTTGACTGATAGGTGTGTAGATTAAGTCTCCTATTACTTTATTAGTATTTTATTTATTTCAACCAAATTAAAGTTCAGTTGGCATTGATGTGCTTAGAGGGAATAAGAAGTGATTGGCAATGTCCATGTACTCCATATCTCTATATAGTTCAACATGTTTGTCACAGGGCTGTCTGAAATAGGTGTTTATATCGATTGTACATTCGTAGCGAAATATCTCGTGAAAACTGAACACGATTAATTTTGAAATCCAGTACAAGAAAAACCAATGAAGCACTGTGACGTGGAACGTAATGACATGCGTACCCTTTTCGCGACCACATGCTGTTTAGTGGTCCATTCAGCGTTATTTTGCTTTTGACGCTCAATAGAATCTATTTCGTCGGATATACCACACTGGTATATTTTTTAATAAAATATGTATATGCCGTTAAACATCTGTTTATACCGTCAGCTCCTGGTATGAGGTGAGGAGAGGTGAAATTGGGTTTAACGTCGTGCTTGAGAATATTTCGCTCATATGACGACGTGCATGCGTGTGTATGTGCATGTGCGGCTGCTTGTACTAGCCCTGCATGAAGCTGGTTTTATAGTGCTAGCCCACTGAGATATCATGCCGCAGTGAAGCATGAATACCCCACTCAGACACATTATACTGACTCCGAGCCGACCAGTCCTTGTACCCATTAATGCCGAGCGCCAGGCAGGGACCAACAAGTACCATATTTTAACGTCTTATGGTATGACGCGGTCGGGGATCGAACCCACGACCTTCCGCTCTCCGGGCGGACGCTCTAACCACTACACCACGGAGGCGGTCACATTAAGTCGAATAACGAGTTATCACTACCACTGTATACTTTATAAGCTTGTTGTCGGTTCCCCGAGTGGCATTTCAGAAGTTGGAAAGTACAAAACTGACAAATGTATTGATAAAAACTACAGATTCTCACTAGCAAACGGTACAGGAATCTGTATCGAAACGTTGCACTCGCAAAATGAAAGAAGTTATCCATAAATCTGTAAGTATTGATATGTAAGTAATCAAGACTAACTTGGATAACCAATGATTTGCCCCGTCATCATCAACCGCATCACCGAGTATGCCAACGTCATGCGTTAAGCCGTCTCGTACACAACGAAGGCGCTTGTAACTGATGCTTTCAAGGATTTACTGAATATGTACTGTTAAAACTCCCTTGAGTGAATGAGTGAGTTGTGTTGAACGCCGCCATCTAAGTATTTACGTTACACTACCGTGGATCAGCTTTGTCTTATAGGAAAGAACACAGAGATGCAGCGAGTGGTCGTTAATTACCTCTTCATGGAAATCAGGACAATTTTAGCCACAAACCAATTTTTATGAATATCCAAACCGCTCAATCGCTACTCGTCTGTGTTAGTTTGGAAACAGTCTCTACCATTCATTTAGACGTTGATGGCCTGTTTGGAATTGTTTTTATGTACTTCATATCAATAATCCTAATTAATACTCATAACTTCGACCGCCTCGTCTTTGTCACACCGAAAAAAGTGAACAGAATCTGGTGGTATTTGATGGTACCCCATCTCTGATTTGCATAAAGGGATACAACAATGATTGGACGGTTCAATATCAGCAAGCGGGGTCCGATTGGAATAATCATGATAAACTGGGGCTTGTTATATCAGAGGATTAGTACATTTTTTCATGAACATATTACACCCGGAAAAGAATTTGAACAGATGTAAACATGTTTTAAATTTCTTCGAGGTTTTGCTGGTTTATTTCCATATGTTCAAGATGTCAGTTTTACAAGTGTTAATAATTTTTGACCTGATTGAACAAAATAATCCATGAAAAAACGAAGCATCAATCCTTACAGGGGCGATGTATGTACATTGTCTCTTATTCAATCAACCAAAGGTTCGGTCGATAACAACAACTACCAATTTTTCATCTCTTTTATTGCACTCCCTACTTATTCCGTTCGACATATGTCCGGACACCAGCATAAAAACATACCGAATGACACTTAATCTGATGCGGGGGGAATTTTTGCAATCTCCAATGCCAATCTAGTTTAATTAAAGTCAGATAGCTCTCGCAAAAGCTAGAAAATTAACCGCCCTGAATGTATTTGTTGGACCCTGTGATGCCATGTTCCGCGGGCCGCGAAGATAGATTGGAGTTAAAAAGTGCCTTCCTTAAACACATCTAGATTAAACTGTCAGTGGAAACACATCGGCTGGCTAATAGCTACATTTATGTATAGTCCTCGTTCAGACACAGGCATTGAGTACATTGTGATACATGCTGGCTATTACTTTATAATTGTACTGTATATCATAACGTTGATAGATGAGCAAGAAACATCGAGACGACCAAGACTTACATTATTCCTCTTGAGATGCCCTAAAGACTATTAATTCTACGGCTGATGAAACATTAGTGGCACATAAGGTTAATATAAAGGCAGTTGAACAAAATAATTGTTTGCCAAGAGGTAAACTTATGATTCTTCAGGTTAATTCAAGGTCTGGTACATACGCAGTGATATGAATATGATTTAAGCATTTTTAACAGACAAAGAGACAGTACTGTTAAATTGAATTACATGTACGAGCCATAGCTGACTTTCTGAGGCCTGATGTATAGCTTAGGAAAGCCAATAAGAAATATGATCAAATCAAATATATATAGAAATAGCAAGAAAAACTGGAGTATCTGATTATTGATTGTGTAACTTTTCTATTGAATTTGTTTCTTCGATACTTTGAGACACTTTGAGACCCAATTATGCCATAACAATGTCCAGGCCTGTATTAGTGGGCACCCCAGACAAGAGAAAATAACTAATATCACACATCAACCACATTATGTTGTAAACTTCTTTATCCACGACCAGCTATATAAAGAAGGTATAGTCTTGAAGTCCACCGTAAACGCTCTCTAAATGTTCCTCATCCCAAGGTGTGATATAAGGGATAAGGGGCGTTATGTCCAAGATTACAGTTCAGGCAAATGAATTGAAAAACAACCAAAGAGTAAAGCCAATAAGCATTTCCTTGTATACCACGTTCAGAGGATCTCCGCCTGGTTTGATGAGGATGTTTCATTTAGGAACATAATGCTTTAGGAGTATGACCAGCAACTGCTTGGGATGGCCAGAAGCTTGGTGTCGACGGATACTAATTTGTTTTACAGCCTGTCGCTCCACTTACCATATCCTTCTCTGACATCGGACCCATGGATCGAACCAGCATGTCTGTCTTTACGACGAGAGGAGGACCTGCAAGATAAATTGGACTCGAACACTTAATGCAAGGGAGAGGCTTTAAGAACAGTAGGTTCGTCGAATGAATGAAGGCTGTTAGCGCTGAATTTGTCAAACTATTATTCGGTGTTAAACTCTGGGAACATAAATCATTATTTCGTTGCAAGGAGGGCGAGCCCGAGTTGAGACAATATCAATCAATGTCGTTTCGGGGCCCCTGACAAATAGTCCGCATTTTGCTTGTGAGGTAAACGTCCCCTCAGGGGACAAATATTAAGTTTGCAATACTCCAGGGGTGTTTCCTTAAGAATCAAATTTCGGCTTTATTTCAGTTAATTAAATTGTCGACAGATGCCTTTCTTCACCCGAAAGGAAATTTAAATTATGAAGAGTTAACGGAACATGTTGTTGAATGGCCATAGCATGGCATGGTAATATATCAGTATTACCGTCATGGTGGAATTCATCCTACCATCGACCACGATGCCTCGTTATCTGTTTCGTGGAAGTCTGGGGCTGTGGTGTAGTCTAGTGGTTCACTTAAGAATTTGCGCCTCACCTCCAGCATCCGGGTTCGATTCCCCCAATGCGTGAAGCTCATTTCTGGTGTTACTTGTATCATATTGCCCAAAGCGGACTGAGTTAAACGCACACGAACAGTATATCTTAAGCGGCAAGAGGACATGTTTCTATTAACCTCCTCCATCTTCCCATGGTACGACCCTGACGGTGTCCAGGGCGTCATGGTAAATCATGCTTTTCAACTTCTTTGGACCCATATACAGAGTGAAAGAAGTCCTGCCAACAAAACGATTTTGTCCTTTTGGGTAGGGCAAGTGAAGTTATTTATGTTACGCAGGTCAGGTTGGTTGGTTTGTTTGTTGTTGTTTAACGCCGCACTCAACAATATTCCAGCTATGTGGCGGCGGTCTGTAAATAATCGAGTCTGGACCAGACAATCCAGTGATCAACAACTGAGCAATAATCTACGTAATTGGGAATACGATGACATGTATCAACAAAGTCAGCGAGCCTGACCACCCGATCCCGTCAGTCGCCTCTTACGACAAGCATGGGTTGCTTACCCAGGAGTGTACCCAGGTTCCCAATCGGAAAAACAGCCCTTCTGGAACTCTGGATAATGCAGAAAGCTGCAGAGTTGGGGAGTCTCCCTATTGTCCGGAAAGTTCTCAGTGGATTCAACTAGGCAACCCTATCTGGGAAAGGTCACTGTCTGGGTTGCGGGTACACAGAGCAAGGGTACCAGCGCTGATAATGAGCCTAACAGTCTGACCTCCCAACCTCTCTCAGATGCATTTTATCATAATTTATAAAATATAATATTAATCATTCAAACGAAATGTATCTTTCATTACTGACTTTGATGAGCAGGTGAGAACTGGGCAGTACGAAAAAAGCCACTGACCACTACACAGTGATCACGCAATGAATGTTTCAGCTTCTTAAAACAGAAATATTTCTCCGCGCTAAACTGTCCCTTCCATAGAAACCTAATACACAAAGCTAGGTTATTATTCAATGCTTGGAAACAATAACTGCTAATTAGTTTAGCTCCCTGGTGTTTAGACAGATGCCATATGCTCACCTCCGAAGCCCGGTCTCAGTCGTCTGTCATAATCATCCAGCAGACTGTCGAGCAGTGTCGTCATGTTCATACCTCCCCCATAGTTCCAGGCGGCGGACACCGTCACCTTCAGTCTTCAAGCACATACGAGAAATGTAGGTAATTTGTCTGACACCCAGCAACACAAATTTACACGTCTGATAATGGGTGACTATATTTTATTGTCTTGATAACTGTAATTTTCTCATGTAAATACGTATAATGCTAGGGGTATGCATTTCCCAGAAGACTAAAGTATCGCTATTCGCTGTGGAGAGTTACGTCCCTTAAGTCAGCCTGAATCCTATGATCGTGGGATCAAGTCCCCATTCGAGCTGATTATGTTGCGTGGTTTGTCTGCACCTGTGCTCATTTTGTATGAAGAACCATTATCATTATCATTATGATAAAGATGCTCTTTTCGTCAGAAAATTCGACTTTCATCACTCTATGTAAATAATGAACATAAATATTGAAACAAATGGAAAACAGTTTACTTACATTAAAATAGAAATCGTAAATAAACTCTCCATGACGTCTATACTTGCATCGATTTCCTGAAATATAAAAACATTCCCTCGTAAACAGATTCCCAACGACGCCGCATAAAAAGACACAACGCTTCAAACAGCAATATGTGTTCATCTTATAACATACTTAGTTTTTTTCATAACACAAAATACACACTAAATAGTTATTTTTGTGAACTACTCACGTTACGAACTGATTTTATATTTCCCCATGCTGGAGGAAATAACCACTCTCAGGTATTAGCTATGAAGAAGTGACAAAGTGTCACTATCTCAGGATCTGATCGTCACTTTAACTAGCGCAAACGCACAACCTTTGTTCGGCCTAACACCCAATAAAGTTAAGCAGCACCATAAAACATAACAAAGGCCCAAACGGCCCCTCGAGGGGTCTTACAAGAGCATACTCGTCTGAGAATTTGGGCAATAATGTATATTGATCTGGCTCTTCTGTCCAAATCCATAGTGCGGAGTGAGTCATTTGTTTCCTTCGTCAAGGCAAGTGTTCTTAATTTAAGTGATAAAAGACCACAGTGCCACCTACTGCCAGGAATATTGCCCCAGCCTCTTAAAGAAACCTCAGTCTAATTTCCTTAGCCTCTTTCTCGTTTAGTGCTCAACGGAACAATCCTCACCTTAATGATTTGCTGTGACCAATATTAGATTTTTCAATACAACAACCAAGAGAGACGCCCTGCTTACATTTCTTCTACAGCAAACCATTAAAGTTTCGATTAAAGTTGGTGTTATCTAAAGTCTTCATCATAAGAAACATGGCAATCTCACACCTGCTGGGTCATTTCCACATTGCCAAATGAACAGAAATATGTTTTTATGTTACATTTTGTATTTGTTATCAGATGAACCTCTCTGAGCCCAATTTACTGTAGATGGGTACTGGCATGGGGATGTAATTGCAATGCATCATGCAATGACATGATTAACTAATCTGCGAAATGTCTCTGAAGGTGTAGAAGGTGTAGAGATGAATGTCTCTGAAGGTGTAGAGATAGTGCAAGCTACAGTGAATTCAAACACCGAGCATCTCATCTAAATGTACAACAACATGTTATTCTTCAAAGTGTCAATTTGATAGTTTTTAAACTCCATTGTACAGAAGTGAAATATATTTATTAAAATGCAAAAACAACGTAGTCTGATAATAAATTCACATCAACATATTGACGGTATTAAAGGATGGTAGCGCTGTTCCACTACTATTCGTCGTCTGCGTAGGTCTGTGAATTTGTCAATGTGTTTTCGATTGGACCCTTTACCATTTCTGGTAAAAGAAGCATTTACACATATGAATACACATGTTTGATCATGTTGTTATGATGGCTAAGAATGCAACAACTAGTCAATACTTTATTACACTACAAAACGTAGATGCCACGCATGGGGATAGAATTCATTCGTACATTGATGTGTCTGTACAATGCATACACAGCAATTTCAGCAGCGACCAAGACGGCCAAGTTTGGATCGGGTGATCAGGTTTGCTCACTTGACTGATGCACGTCATCGGATCCCATCTGCGGATATCAGTACTAATGATGTCAGTCACTGGATTGTCTGGTCCAGTCCGTTGTATACAACAAACTGACAATTGGCTGAGATATTCGTCGAATAATATCTAAAGCGGCTTTGAACTCAACTCACTCACTCATGTTTGTTGAACAGTGTGAACATGGACAGTCATACATTGCACTCATTTGCTGCTCTGCTTTAGCATTACTAATAACTGAAGATGAACTTTGCTCTTAGATGTCCGAAACGTTAGAATATTAGGATATATTGATATGATATGTCTTGGAATGTTTCCATTACACTTCATATACCGATATATATCCAGTATCAAAGGATTGCTGCCCTAAAATGACAGGCGAAATGTAAAATTTTCATTCATTTCATTATTATTCTTAACGCGTTCAGCTTTCCTTGTTTCAGAATGACGGTATTATCTAAAGTGTCTCATTAACATTTACGATCGTCAGATTTCGTTATGTATTTTCATTTCATCAGACTCGAGTTCATCTCAAAGTAATTATGTCTATACGATTTCAATATTTAGCCAAATGATACTTTCCAGTACACTTTAAACAGAGATAGTTTTCATATGGAGATACTGGATATAAACACAGACATTAATGCTGCCTAATGTCAAAGTCATTATAACCAATGTGGTCTGACGGTTGAAAACTGCCTTCTTAAAGAGGCCATCGTTCTTGATAATCCTCATCGAGAAAATCCCGCAACACTCACCTATCACTCACTCACAAGCCATATTACTTCTGAAAATGTACACATGGGTGGGTCATGAGTCTAAGACCCAGAAGTTTGTTGTCAAGAGTGTCGCCCCTTAGTAATAACGCAATCTGCTGATCACGAGTTCGAATCCAAGATTCGCCCCCCAATTTTATCAAACTGTCCATATCATCATCGGTGACACATACCACGGTCTGTGTCGTTTGTAGTTTTCCTCCTAAACCGATCTCTAAACTTTCTCAGACATTAACATATAGACCAATATGTGATTATTCATTTGCGACAAGCTAGGACGGTTAAGCAGGTTGGGTTGTGTGTCTTCGTATTCCGAAAAGACTCCACTAAGAACCAACCATTTGGTCTGAGACGGGGTTGTGAGATTTTGAATGGATACTTTATATTATTTCAGCTACCGGTACCATCAGATACGCCGACAGTTTGTTCTATCTTTCTCTGTGTAACCCCTGCCCTTAGATAGTCCAAAAGTCGCCTAATGAAACCTTTTCAAGTACTACACTTGCCCGTCACCACCGCCCCTGTTCGCACCTTGACTTGCCACATCGTATGCCGACAGACGCACCACAAGAGGGATCGATGTAATTACCACAGAGTATATTTCACGGACAATAAATATTTGTACCCTCTGAACCTTGATGATAAATGTGTGCCCAGTGTTATTAGCGGGATGAAGGGATGTTCATGAGCTGGACTTTCATGTGAACCCAGGTCCGACACTAAACAATCCCCAGAAATAGATTTTCCTCAGTAATGTGGACATGACGACTTTCTAAAAGTGTGGGCCGTCGCTTCAGCTTAACTGTAAGTTGTGAAAAAACATCCCGACCGTAAAATGTTTCTCGCCCTCTGATGCCACATGCACGTCAGATGACTCAGTGTTGAGTGCTGCTTTAAAAGCTATTATTTAGGCCTCGGTAAACCTCAGGCAGAAGCTGCATATTTATATCTTCCTTACTGTAAGGTTGTCATAAGACAGTCCTATTAAGAGACAGTGAACTCACTTTTATGAATCTTGGTAGATGATATTAGGAAAGTAAACAAACAGATTCGAGGAATAACTAATAATTTATTGTCTTTCCTGCCAGAATTTTTGAAAGGCTTCCTGAACCGCTTCCTTGTCCCTATTGATATATTTAATTGTTAGTTGTTTAACGCCGCACTCAGCATTACTCGTTATATGACCGATATCTGCACATACTCAAACCCGTCAAACCAGTGATTGATATCATGAGTATTCATCGTAACGTAAATGTGATACGATGACATGTATCAACCGACTAAGCGAGCATGACCACCCAATGCAGATAAACGCGCAAGAATTCAACGGACGTCAGTGTAAACCGAATGATGCTTGATACGTCGTTTAAATGTCTCATGCTCTGAATAATGTCATGACTTACATAAAATGCATTTAGGGTTGAAGACCTCTAAAAACGTATCGTGATTAGCACGACCTACAAGATTTAACAGCTCAACCCTTTACAGATCGGTCAAGTTTTTGGAAGTCGTCAAAGGCATTTCACAAAAGCACAAAATATTACAAGCTTAAGTTGCGCTCTTGGTTAAGTTTCAAAACTTTCTTGAGTGAGTGAGTGAGTGAGTGAGTGACTTTGATTTTACGACGCTTTTAGCAATATTCAAGCAATATCACGGCGGGGGACATCAGAAATGGACACATTGTACCCATGTGGGGAATCGATCCGGGGTTTTCGGCGTGATGAACGCTTTAACCACTAGGCTTCCCCACCAGCCCCAGTTTTTAAAGAGTTAAATTCATGTCTAAGCAGTGACAGGTATTACAGTTTAAAGTGGGACAAGTCATGTTTGAGTCATGTCGTTGAAAACCCATGTCAGTGTCAGCATACAAAGACGGCCTGATCAACAGCGATAAAATATTGTTTTCATACGTGTCTTATAATTTTTTTATATCCTATTACCCCAAACATTTATACATCCAAACCGGGCATAACTACCAGTCTTCTAAACGACCAATTTAGGAAGGTTTCACTGTACATCAACGTAACGGTTAATGACTATTAGCTTAATTGATATGCCTCTAGGACAGGCAGAAATGACATTATTCAGGCAACGGACCTTGAGCTCCTGGACCCACTCAAGATTTGCCCTCTGCTCAAGAATCCGGGGGTCAAGACGGTCACCATCTTTCGCAGGGGGAGTAGGACCCAGAATCAATAGGCCACTCTGGTGGTCAACCTGCTAAATCACCATACCCCTTAATTACACTTCCTGTCTATGGAACACATGGATGCCATCCTATTCCCCATTACAGAAAGATTACCCTTGTATAATTCAGCTGGAAGACTTGACCGAAGATATACCTGATAATATTACAATCTGGAGTTCCTTCCGGAATCAAGTATAACGCATTTATTATCATATTGGCCAGTGATTTATATACATTTCTCTTCTGTTTTTCTGTTTATTTCATTCATTAAACATTTCTTGCAATGCAGTAGACTTTATCTGAAGCTAGGGACATTAATTCGTCAACGCGAGGAGTCGTGGCAAAACTACCAGATCAGATTCCAATAGATTCCTCGCAAGACACTCAGTCATTTAGCTGGACTCCTAAAAACCTGTTCACAGATTTCATATTTGGAACAAGCAAACTCACAATCAGATTTGACAAAGATCGGGGCCCACTTGCACAAAGCGATGTTACTGCTACGACTATCGTATGTCGTATGCGTTAAAAACTGTTACGAATGTCGTAGCGCAAA